GAAGTGACAGAGAGACAAAGCCACATTTATCAAAGCATTCTGGAGAACATACTGTGGATCTCATGTGTAATTCCACTGGGCTGCAGCATTAACCCATTTACCATGAATGCACAGGTCTGAGTAGGTAAGTGCAGAACTGCATTGTGAATCCACTGATCCGTCGATCAGTGCATTGAAAGAACTTGTCCCCTCTCCTCTGCAGCTAAGCAGCAGTCTTTGTCCAAATGTCTACACTTTTTATTCTCTACAACTGGCCCGAAGTTGCACCTAGCAACTCAAAACGCTCAAAAAAGAGGAGCAACTTTAATGAACAGCAGAGAGATGCTGCGTGAGGTTCAAAGTCTTCTTCACGTTTCAAGCTTGCGTGTTCCTAACACTGACACCATTTCTAAACCAACCTTCTCAACCCGGTGCCCTCCAGATGCCCTGGATTTTTACTCCCTCCCGTAACTAACAGTTGAACCACATAGAATGGTTCAGTGTAAAGGAGGCTGGTTTTGATATAGAGGCTCACCAGGGGACTGAAAGCTGTTGATCTTCCCACATATGGCTTCATAGCATTTCTGGTGTATATCTGTAATTTTCCAGAGGAAGACACCATCATAAGAAGCTTGCTCAGAGGAGTGAAGTCGCTTCTCCAATCTAGTAAGGGTGGCATCTTTCTGCACCAGGCATCGCTGGAGATCGGCAATCTTGGAGAGAAGAAAAGTTCATTCTTTTTGGGCACTTCATTCAAGGGCACTTGTGTGGCCTGGCAGAGGTTAACTGTGCAAATCCCTGGTTTGCTTAATCAGGGTTTACTCCATTGGCTGGGCTCAGCCGAATGGGGCTTTGGCTTGGCAAGTCCACCAACCTTGCAGGTGGGGCTTATGGCTGAGTCTTATGTGCAGACTCATTGTTATCCCGGTGAAACAACATCGTGGCTCACTGTGATGGACCAACCTCACCACTGCCTTTCTGCAGACTTACCTTCAGCTCTAAGCCGCGAATCATATCTTGGTCAAGGCCCCTCTGTCCCCGGAAGGCCAAGATCTTCTGGCGGGATGTAGTCATCTCCTTGCTCAGCACAGACGTGATGTTCTCAAAGACCTGCAGCTTGCTCTCCAGCCAAGAGACCCTCTTCACTCTCCTCAAGAGCGTGCACCAGCTCACCTCCCCCTCCTCCACCGGCAATGCAGAGAAGGGGCTGTCTCCCCCAGGATCTTGAATCTGCAGGCTGAGAGGGCCATTCATCCAAAGCTTGGCATCTATTAAAGGTGAGCTGGGCTGACTGCCTCTTGGGGAAGAACTGGCCTTCAGGTGCTTGACGTACTGGAGCAGCAGCAACAGATGTCTTCCTGCAGCGTTTTTCTCATGCACTCTTTGATCCCCTGCGTTTCCCTATTGGGAAGGAACAGGGCACCCTCGAAAGGAGAAAGACTCTGCCCTTTGCTCCCGTTTGGCAGCTCTCAGCCTGGCATCCATCTAGGGCACCAGCTGGAGTCTCCGCACCTTGGCAGAGCTACTGCTGCCCGTGGCTTCCCGGCCCTACCTTGAACAGGCATCCAATGCTGGAGAATCGGCAGTCTTCATCGCTGGAGGAAAGTCCTGAAGGATTCTACTCAGGAAAGGATTGGGAAAAATTGAGAGAGAGGGAAAGAGAGAGATGAGAGAGGAGGGTGGGTGCGTGGGGAGAGAAAGAGAGACAGAAGAAGAAAGATAGATAGATAGATAGATAGATAGATAGATAGATAGATAGATAGATGGATGGATGGATGGATGGATGGATGGATGGATGGATGGATGGATGGATGATAGACAGACAGACAGACAGACAGATAACAGACAGAGTTATAGAGATAAAGATGTAAAATAGAGATGTAAACATATTAAATTAAAATGTAGATTTTCATAACTGTTCCCTAATCCTAACCCTACTTAAAAACATCAGGGCAGGATAGGATTAGGTGGGTTATTAGAGAAGAAGGTGTTCCCTGTACTGTAATCCTATGCACTTTTAGTATCGATTTCAATTTTACATCTGCACCCTTGGTGTAAAACATGCTATGTCCCACTCCCATGGAAAGCCCTATTTTTTACCACTGGAGCTGTGATGAGGGGAATATGCATTTCATGGAGCTGTCCCAATGAGATCTTTTGGATTTCACACACACACACACACACACACACACACACACACACTCAACCTGGTGGACATAGACTGGGAAGGTGGAGGAGTACGTCCCAAACATACAAGATGAGTGATCAGCGCCCCTCTGCAGGATGTTCTCAGTGCACTTTCCTCCAGCCTCCAACATCGTCGTTCTGAAATACTCTGACCGGATCAACTTTCAGTAGATTTTCAAAATAGAAAGCTGTTGACTGACAGGAGGGGAGGGGACATCCCTTTCAAAGTCCCGCCAACTTGAGAAATAACATTTTTCTTGGGCTGGGAGGAAAGCGTGAGCCGTGAAAGGATTTTGCGTCCGGCTTTTTGTACAAAGCTCAGGCGCCCAGCCAGGAAAAATGTTAGATGGCAAGATAGTGGGGGACAGTGCTTGTTCCTCGTTAGTCTTCCTACGACTTTGGCAGACCTAGACAGGGAGCAAAGTATCCTGGGAAAACATGCAGAAACCCATCTCTTTCACCATTGTCGTGCGACTAAAACGACGGCAAAAACAGAAAGGGAAGCCTTAATGGGACGGAACTGCTGTATCGAATTGCTCCACAAAGCCAGATGTATGGGGGGGGGGGGAGGGGTTGGGGCAAAGCAAAAAATGATAATAATGAATGTATTTTTAAAAAGACTTTGTTTTCTTTTGTTTTTTAACATGCATCAATAATAATAAGTAACAATACAGGGAAGACCTTAATACTAAGTAATCAGCTTAAGGAAGAAACCCTTACTGTACAACGAATATTTTGATGTAATTTGCAGAATTTCTTTCTAGTTATATGCAGTTCTGGATGAAAAAACTGAATAATCTTATGCCTCTTCAGAGGGACATTTAAAGTCATAGTTAATACTGATATAATACTCTTTTTTCTATCTGCAATGGTCTAAGATATCTAAACATTGGAGTGTTAATCATCTTTAGTCTGTACTGTACAAATGCTACTGCACTGAAATAATATAAAGTGTTATGTCTGTTTTGCAACAATATATATATTTAAACGAAGAGACTGGGGCTATCCAAGTTCAAATCCGCCCTGTGCCGTGGAAAGACACTGGGTGATTTTGAATCAGCTGCTACATACGAGGCCAAATGACCTCACAGGGTTGTGGTGAAGAAGAGATTTTCCTGCCCTCCCAACCATCAAACTTCTACCTTGCGCTATCAGGAGAAAAATGGGATAGAAGAGTAATAATTAAGAAATAAAAGTTGCCAGCTAGCCAATCAAAGCCAGCAGATCAGTGGGTGTGTGTCTGTGATTGTGTGTATTTGCTGGGAACAGGGAAGAGACAACCACCCTGGGCTTTATGTTGGGTATGTGAAATCGAATAGATGGCAGTAAAATGAAGATTTCCTTCAGCTGAAGAATTTTTCACATTTTAAACGTTTTTTTGGAAAATGCCTTTTTTCCCAATAACATAACAGGCCCAAGCCTCCAACGTTTTCCTGCCATCCCATGGAATTCACACCTAAACTTGTCTAAAGATGGGCCAAAAAAGTCAGACAAATTTTATGGCGGGACCTGGTGTTCGTTCTTGGATGTCCCGGGGATATTGCCAGCGTTTGGATCCATCGACATCCTGCACATCGCTGCCTGACCATAGTTGACCAGGACATATTCGCACACGCGCCGATGATCCTGCAAGACAAGTGTTTTTAAAAACGTTACCCCCGGGGAAAGGGATTTTAATTTTTATGGGAACCTGAGGATGTCTGCGGGGAAGGGGGTGAAAAAAGTGTGCATAAAAAGGGGCAGGGTTTTGATGGCATGTGTGGCCACCATCTTGACTTTTTGACTGTGGACACCCCTGTGAGAACATCTCCCTATCTGAGAGTTGAATCTTTTCCTTAGCCATCTCTGAGCTTCATGACAATTGCATCCCTTAGAAGTGGGTTGAGATGCTCTGTGATCCAGCTGGTTCGCATCCCGTATCCATTCCATCCTTTCTCACCATGCGGTTAGCCAGCCCCCAGCCAACACGCCTCCTCCCTTACTTCCAAATTGGTCATGGCGCCCATCCAGCTGCATCTTGGTATCCCACAATGCACCGCAGATCCCGGAACCTCCTTGTTAATGGCAGCTGCGCTAAGACCCTGGAAGTGAAGAAGGACACGCACACAATGACAGCAGGTCTAAATCTTGCAACACCATTATTTCCTTAGCTATGGTGCACTGAGCGAAAGCACGAGGAGCTGGGTTTACAAAACTTGCTAAGTTCTAAACCTGGGTTTAGGAACTGCAACGGCTGGGATTGCAACCATCGTTTGCAAGATGGGTGCTGAAATGAAATGGACCCAGCTCTAGTTTCATCCAGCAGGACGTTTTTAATCTCCTTAATCGGTCCCACTACTGAATTCACTAGGGATGGGAGGGAGTTTTGTCAAGCGCTTTTAAATGAGTACGTGGCAAAGTGCAACGTTTAAAAAGGAATTGAATGTGGGAAGAAATGAAATAGACAGATTTGGCCATCGAGAGTGAGGGATTAGCATCTTAAAAAGTGTTTTTTTAAACCCATGTATAAAGCATGTTGGCTGTACTGAATTAGGGTTACCCCCTCCTTTTTCGTTTTAGATAGCTTCTCATCTTTTGCAGCTACAAGGCAAGTCCTCTTAGACTCAGGCACATTTTTTTATTCAGTTAATGTATTATTGCATTTATCAACCACCTTTTCTCTAAGAGTTCAAGGCACCACACATGCAGAAGACCTCACTACACTCATCTTAAAAAGGACTTTGTGAAGTTGCCTGGGCTAAGAGTTATTGGCCCAAAGCCACTCAATGCATTCCATGGCTGAAGAGACTCTCAAACCTGGATTTTGCTTGTTCCCAGCACTGCATTTAACCATGACATTATGTCAGTTCTCTAATGGTACCTAATCAATTCACCCTGTGCAATTAGAGGGAATGTCAAAGGTTCCCTCCCCACCCTTGACTTTTTATAAGAGCTTACCCAAACCGTAACATTTCCAAGAAAATTGCAAAACCATTTTCAGAAAGAACATGATTTTAGAATAGTCAGATGTGGAAAGATAAACCCTGTAATGCATCCAAGCCCAGATTTTACCCAATGCCTGCCTGCTGTTTTATTCCTTCAGTCCAAAACAACCTCAAAGGAAGTTGCTTTTAACAGGCAGCAAACAGCTTCGTTGAAAGACTAATCAATTCCAGTAAAGAAAAATAATTTGTACTGGCACCCACGCGGTTCAATTAACTATGCCAGGCAAACGGTTGATGGAGACTTTAATTGGGATTTCTTAAAATTTTCAAACTAAAGAGGCACTTGGTTTTAGTGTGTTTTTGATGTCCTAAATTGTCCCAGGAAGACAATTTCAACCGTTGCTTGAAAGCTGATCTGAAAATCAGTGCTGAATCCGTTCGAGAGAGAGAGAAAAGTAAGTATGGAATTTGGCTAAAACACTTTACCTTTGAATTTTGCCAAGTTAGGGTGCTTATTGCTCATTGTTGATTTTCCAGTTGGCTCTGAAGGCTGTTTATAAATTTTAGAGGGGAAAAAAAGGACAAACTAACCCAGTCCAATATCTTAAGCCAGACGTTTGTTAATGTTTTGTATGCTAAATACATTTGGGTAACATTACAGGCAAGTATTTCTGATGTGAGCTACATATTAGCTTCCCCACATGGGGAAATGTTAGGATTCCTCTTCAGATAACTGACTTGCTTTTACTGAATGACCCCATTCCTACCACAACATGCTTAACTAGACATTGAGAGGGTTAGTGCGATGTCAAAAGTAGCCCCTAAATAGTTCAGTTTAGCCCAAAACAAATCCAGCCGTGCATGGAATGAATCACTCCACCCAGCTAACGATGTCATGACAATGCCTAACCCAGATACACAGTTTTGTCTGCTAAGAAAAAGAGTTTTTAAGAAAGAGCAGCTGAAGAAGAAACCCTCTCCATGATTGAACCTACCATCAAGACATGCCAGCATGGAACACACCCAGATACGGATTGACTTGCACCATTGGCTCATCTTTTAATGCTGCAAAGGCTCCTGAGATACTAGGTGTTTCTTAGGAGAAGTGGGTGGGATTCTATATTCTCCAAATGGTGATCTCTCACTGGCCTATGTGCTTGTGTACTTTCGCAACCACAGGCAAAGAGATTTGGCTGGCTTAGTAGCTCACGGGGTTACATGTGGCAAAAGGACCACTGTGCGAATGGAGGAGTTAACAGGATCATTTCACTGGTACTCTGCAACTCCTCGGCTTAGTAAACTCATACACTGAGTCTGTTTGCTCATTGTTTCTGTAAACATGTGAAATGGACTCGGGAGGAACTACAGTAGCCTTTACATTTTGACTTGCTGTTGTTTGATAAAGAGAGACATTTTCACCCAGAAAAGCAGCCCATCTTGAAATCTCCCGATGTTGTTGAATCGCTTGGGGTTCATTTTTTTCCCCCCAACTAAATTGCTTTGTCTTGACACAACAGTGGAAATAATCTTAGTACAGGGTGGTTTAATGAAAGTCTTTTTAACACCCTTTGTTCATATTCCCTGTTTTTCAACTCTAACCTGTGCAGTTTACAGATAATTAACCATTGCTAAGGTCAATGGAAGTGACATACCTTTTCTTCAGAGAGTAAATTTTCTTCCCCGGCAAGACCAGAATCTTCTGCCTTACAACCCTGACAAATGGGGTTGCTACTGTTTCTGAGTGGAAAGGAAAAAGAAGAAGAAAATGAAAATGGTCCCAAAAAGATTTTAATTGGAATCTTTCAAAGGCCAAATTAGCTTAAGGTCACTTTGGTTAAAAGAATTCACACTTATTTTAGCCGTTGGAGGTGGGGAAAATCCTTCAGGTCCATGCAGGCATCTGCAGGCTTCAAGACTAAAACTGATACCAAAAGGTTCACACATTTTCAAACTAAAACTTCAGAATCGCTGAGACTCTGAATAGCGAGAATGTCTAGAGCAGAGATCTTCCCTATTTTTATAACTTGCCTTTATTGTTTGAAAACTCAAGGCACCACACTTAAGAGTCCCTCTTCCCATTTTCCCCACATCAACTTTGTAAGATTTGGTTTGAGAGGGACTGGCCCAGAGTCACCCAGCTGGATTTTATCCTTATGGGAGGACTAGAACTCATGGTCTCCTGGCTTCTAATCCAGCACTTTAACCACTAGATCAAACCGACTCTCTAATATTATGCATCTTGAAATCTTTCTCCTGGGCTGGGACACTTATAAGGAACTCTTTGGGGCATCCTCAGCTAGAGTTTGAAGAGCAAGGGATGGGGAGGAACCTCTTGTTCAGCATATCCATGGCTCAAGAAAGCAGAGCAGTTGAAAAGTCTGAAGAGATCATTTTTGCTCAACTGGTTTTCCTTCCACGAAGAGGGAATGGCAGCCACAACCATGGAAAAGCAGACAGTGCTTTGGACGAGGATGGGAGATGCAAAGGCACACGTTCCAGTTCACCCGTAAAGCCTGTTTTGTTTTCTTTCCCCTAGTCTAATCCAGTTTAATCCACTTCCCAGGGTTGCTATGAGAGTAAAGTAGAGAGGAAGCCATACTTTCTATGCAGAGAAAATGGTGCAGCAAAACTGTGCGCGTTTCTATGACGTGTGCGAAAACAGAACAAAACATTGGTTGGCCTTTAAGAGGTTATCCTAAGATTTTATTGGATGGGCTGCAATAAACTAAATGGGTAAATAAATGGGAACTGTAGTCCTAGCACCGAATATAGAAGAAAGAGGAGCCTATTGAGATCTTTAGCGCAGAGCATCACCTGGCATTTGATGCCTGCATCTGGGTTCTCAAACTGGGGGGCCTTCTTATGGATCTCTGAATTTTCCCCCCCAGCCTGCCTTGCCTCTTAGTACCATTGGCCCCCAAATGTCCAGCCTGCCAGGATTTGGGGGTAGGACGCAGCTTGGCTTTAGGGTAACAAGACCCTTCTATTTTTCTCCCCACCCCACAGCAGCCTCACTTCCCCCAGCATCTAAATCCACCTTGATTTCCCTCCCCATGGCCTAGCAGAGGGAGAGTGAGGTGAGAGGGTCTCTCTTCGCCCAAAGAGGCAGAAGAGAACTGATGCTTCTAGGACTGAATGCTTTTCCAGGAGGCAGAGCAGCTGTTAGGAGTCCAGTCCTGGGCTTGAGGATGATGACAATGATGTAAGGCATGGAGGAAATCTTTCCTCCGCCTCTTAATCAGGATAGGCATCCTGGACGGATAGGCTAGCTCTCCATTCATAATGATTGGCCCTGACTCTACAGTTTGACCGCCTGGGAGAGCGCCCTGTGCCTCTCCCCCTGCCTATTTCCGCCCCCCAAGTTTCGTTCTCCCTCCTCTTTTCCTACTGCACCTGACTGCCATCTCAATTCCCTCCCCCCCCCCCATCACGTGGCCTCCCTCTGCAAAAAAGACTCACCGTATAATCCAGGTCAGGCAGGCTGTGTAAGAGGGATTCCTGCAGAGATTCTGCAAGTCTTCCTGCAGGAGGATCCTGCTGTGGCCGCAGCGGTATTTTGGCTCACCTGCACGGGCACAGACGCCAAGGGGGGAGCCCAAAGGGTGCCCGGATTCATCCAGAGAGGAGCTGGTTGGGGGAGTGCCAGGGCTGCTGTTTCTCTCTCTCTCTGCCATCCGCAGCAGCT